CTGAGTCCCTCACGCTCCACAGGGCACAGCCATCCATCCATCCACAACTTGACAACTAACTCCTGGAGCCCATGATTCTATCATTCTCTTGCCTTTTTTTAATGTATAGTACAGCTTTGATGCTTAACCACCCTGTGGACTGAAATATGAGCCAAGGAATATTTGCTCAGACCATCAAAGGACAGAAATATATGCAACGATGAGAAAGGAACGGCCCCTTCTACCGGCGCCCTAGAAACTACCCAGCCACCTCGGCAGGACTCTCACCCCAACAGCACTGGGGAGAAAGACAACCTCACCCCACTTGGAGCAAACGCAAGATTCCCCTGGGTCTATGAACAGCCAAGTCAAGACTTGGCCTCTAATTTTGCAAAGTCATCGGTTTCCTCAGCCTAGTCACCTGTGAAATTCTGGCCACTCCTTGATTACATGTAAAGTTGCCCCAATTATTTAGGCTGTCTGCATTCAAGGAGGGTCTTTACAATCAACGGGAAGTTCTGGGAGAATTTTTCAAGAAAATTGTTCATTGTTAGACCCAAGCCAGCCAAAAAGTGAAGTTCATTTGCCAGTCACATAAGGTGTGCTCTCTGCCAGCAGAAGGGTGGGTGAGTATTTCAAATGGGGGTTGGGGAGCTTGCTGAAGGAAGAAAGGGAGAAGGAGATCAAATGAGGAGAGAAGCATAAAAATAGGACTTAGATGAAAAGAAAATATTTCTCTCCTACAGAGCTTTCTGATAACTGCCACCACATCAACTTAAAAAGCAATATAATCTGTCGCTTACCTCTTCTGAAGACACAGCTTAAAGAACGCTGCACTCCCCTGTCTGTGGCATTCTGAATCCTACTTGGACAAAGAATTATACCACAACAAATCACATCTGCCTACGCAGAAAAGTGATGTCTGTTTATTCCTTGATAGACTTTTATTTTCCATCCATAAATAAGAAATTGCGGGGTTGCTGGCTTCTCTGAGAGGTCTGTGGTTCCCTACCCAGCTAAGATTTCTACCTTCCTTCCTTTTCTTGTCCAGACGTAAAGACGTACAACGAAGCCACTGATGTCACCCAAGTGCATGTAGTTATTCCACAGTGTCCTGGCAGCACAGGATGCTGCACAGTCCCCCCAAACCCATTTGGCATTACTTCTCTCTCTCTCTCTCTCTCTCTCTCTCTCTCTCACTTGCAAACGTGCACTGTCCCTCCATGTAAAGATTAGGGGGGAGGGTGCGGGTAATCTCTATTTTATGTCCAAATGACACAACCAATGTCTCCCTTTAGTGACTTGAAGGAAACAAAAGCTTTCAGAGGAGAGGAGAGGATTTAACCTGAATGTACTTTAGAAAACTTCCGAAGCAGAAAAACACCTTAAGCAACCTTGCGCATGAAGCAGAAAACTTACCCCTGTCAGCAGCATTTCTCAAAACTCAGAGTCCAGCCTCGTGGCGTACAAGCCACACAAGAAACAGAATCTGCAAAAATCATTATTTTCCCTGCCTGTACTGCCAAGCACCTGCAAGACTGAAAACAGCGAGATCGCCAGTTCTCTTCCGAGACAGTGCCGGCCTTTCCAGCAGATGCATTAAGTGAGATAAAAACCTTCGGGTTGAAGGTGGGAGAAAAAAAAATCAGGACCATTAAAGATGTATCTTCTAAATAATCAATGTACCAAATTTGTAAACTTTTCTTTGGAGTCCAGAAACACTTCGACCCTGTGACCCAGGTCATCAATAATTTCTTTCAAGCAAGGCAAATTCCTAAGTGATAACTGGGCCCATATATCACTGGTGTAGAAAGTGCTAGCGAGCATGCTAATTTGGAAATTCAGTCAGTGCCCTATTGACTGGGAGCCTCTCGCTCAACTTCTGGCATCTTCTCTGTCTCCTCCCAAGGCCGCCAGAGAGATGGGCTAAGCCAGCCCATCACACCCCACCCAACCCCTGTTCACCATTTTCTTTTTTGATCCTCCCTTGCCAAGCTTAGCTCTTCTGCTATCTCTCCACCAACTTCCCCCACCCCATTTACATTGTTTAAATATTGTCTCAATGAGCACCAAGTAATCATTACATCCTCTGGCTTTATGTTAATTCTGCTATACCAGATACTGTATTAGCTCAGACAGTGGACCACAGGCTGATGCCCGGAAATTTCCACTGCCATAGTGTAGGTGGTGAAGTTGGATTTGCATTTCCAATCGAAGAAAACATAACTATTTATGGAGGCCCTGCTTTATGTCAAAAAAAATTTGAGGCTGCTTACACGAATACATACAGTAAAACAATCAAATTACAGGGATAGGATAACGGGACAAAGCAGCTCAAGTAGGAGAGTGACAACGAAAAAAGGGAAAAGCCAGAACGGAAAGCTCATCTTGGGAGGCCACACAGCAGCTGGAGGAGATGGCTGCTTGTCCAGCCTCCCGGCAGCGGTGGGAGGAGAGACTCACAACAGCAGCGGAGACATCAGGGCCCGCTGGCCAGACCTGACCGCCATCTGTTTTGGTAAATAAAGTTTTACGGGAACATGGCCACGCCTACCCATTTACATATTACTTAAGGCTGCTTTCAGGATAGAATGGCAGAATTGAGAAGTTGCAACAAAAAAACTGCAAAACCTAAAATATTTACTCCTTGGCTTTTTCCAGAAAAAAGGCTGTATGGCTCAGGTTATATGATTCTTTGCCTAAGAGAGCGAAGTCAAGCAGGGTGAGCACACCCTCCATATGGTTCTGACATGTAGGAGAACTTTTTACTACCGAGAGCTCACTACGTAATCTCATGCAAAAACATTCTGAGCATCATTTTCTACAGTAAACACAGCAGGCTTCATAGGACAATGACATGACATCATAACGTTCATTAAAACAACTGTACGTGGGGTTGGAGGGATGCCCCTTCGGGTCAGGTCTCCTCTGGTCCAGCATGATTCAGGGAGAGTCTGGAGAGATGGCAAGTGCCAGCTGTGAGGCCCACCCTTCCCGACACTCCCACCCTGTTCTGGGCAGACAAGGCTGATGGATCAAGGTGTCCCGTCCCCAGGCCTGAAGTGAGCCCAGAGTCTTCTCGGAGTCTCGGGAAGCCTCAACCAACCGTTACCAGTTCATGCAAGAGAGAACTGATATACATCGTGTTCTTTGTGCTGAGGTAATTTTCCATGAATGTTCTCTGACAGGTCCTGGGTGTGAGCTGGTGGTCATACTCTCTGTTGAGTTTCTGAAGTTCAGAGTCAACCCTTTTTGTGGCATTCCCGTGTGAACTGGGAGCCCCCGAGAGTGGTGACAAGAAGCTCGATCATGCATATACCTGGTGAACAGGGTCAGGAGTCCCCTCCATGGAAAGAATGGGAGGCACTGTCTCTGCATAGACCAGCAGTGGGTGGGGCCAGAGAAAGGTGGCGGGTCCAGAGAGGTGGGCGGGGCCACAAAGAAGTGGCAGGGGCCAGGGATGTGCCAGGTTAAGAGACAGTTGGGTGCGTCCAGAGAGAGGTGGGCAGGGTCAGAGAGAAGTGGGTGGAGCCAGGAAAAGGTAGGCAAGGTCAGAGGGAGGTGGGTGGGGCCAGAGAATGGACTGGCATTTTATCTGAAAATGTTAACACTCAACTCCCAAGTTGCTTGTCCAAGAAGAAAACCTCCAAACAGCCATCATCTACACCTGCTGGGCTCAAGTACATATATTCCTAGAGAGCCACCCAAGACACAGGGTTCCCAAGTAAATGCAAATAAAGTAGAAATAGCAATATTTAAGAAACTATAGTTCATGGTGAGGACAAAACTGCTGAGGGGGACTTAAAAGAACACACCCTGCCCTTCTCTGCCCGTTCCTCCTCTGTGCCTATAAAGCTATGCTATACATCGATACATTTCTATTTTCTACAATATAGAACAAAAATTCAGGTTATCTGAAAGTGTTATTAAGGTCCTCCCAGGTGACCTAGGGGTTAAGTCTCAGCGCTATCACTGCGATGACCGGAGTTCGATCCCTGGCCAGGGAGCTGACCCACATGCAGCAGCAGACCTCTCCTGTCTTGTCCGCTGCTCCCCTCAGCAGTGTATTTTAGTACATCCACCCCACTCTGTCTTTGGTGAATCCTCTCACCCCCTGCACCTCTGGCCTGCACCCCAGTCCTTCTATGCAAAAATAAATAAAATATTTTTAAAAAGTGTTATCAAATCCTTCATATGCACATTAAAGAGAATACAGAGCTATTGATATTTACCCTGCTAGACAGTGCTATTCCGCCTATAACTGACTCATACCTAGGCTGTCTAAGACAAAACAGATTACATCATTGTTCCTAGCAAGATTCCTAATGGATCTTTCACAAGATGATGAAAAAGTATAAAACTGGAAAATAAGTAAAACCTCCATGCTTAAAATCTTTCTTCTCCTTATGGGTTGTGACAGTGCCCTAGAAAACACCAACTGCAAAAAAAATAATAACCACACTTGCCAGGGGAGTTAATATGGCCAACAAATAGGGTATTCAACAGATCGGTGGAGGAAATATTTCTGATCCCTAAAAGGAGCAAATACTAACAAATATCACCACTCACTTTTCAGTACCAATGCTTAGATTGAGGTCCCGACAACGCAGAGCCACATCTGGGCCCACATGCAAAGTCTGTATTCGGCATAGCCTTGGAGAAATAAGACAGAAGACAAATTCTTAAAGTCAACCAAAATGCTGACCCAGACACTGCATGGCAGCAGGCACTTGGTTCACTTTCCAATCGGATTAGAAAGTGCACAGAATGTCAACAAAGAAAATTCCAGAGCAAAGCAAAGGCCCTTCCACATCAGCTGTGGGCTGATCCTCCTTCTGCAAGCAATTACACAACCCTTCAATCCTTTGATGTCCCCTGAACTCAAGTCGGAGGTCAGGATGACTCAACAAAGCTTTTTTGCAACATTTGAGGCATTAAAATGGGTGCCCCCAAAAGACCATCATCCAAGCCCTCCCAGGACCTCGGCGACACTCTGCCTTGTGACGCAGACTCCCACTTACGTAATGCGTATAGCGTGAGAATTATTCCAGCCAGGCAAAATCCTTCGAAGAACCTCAATGTGCTGAACATGGTCACGTTCACGGACAGGGCCACAGTCAGTCCGAAGATCAGAATGAAGATGATGGAGAACAGCAGCACAGGCCGTCGGCCGACCCTGCACAGGAAGAGGGAAAGCGTGAGACTCATTAGACAGGACTGGATGCTGGAGCTCGGTATCCAGCAGGCGCTTAACAGATGTTGAATGCATGCTGTACTAGAAGACTTGAGACTATTTAGACCCACTGTGGTCGATCTAGAGGAAGGAAGATCCTCAGGGTAAATGGAGCCCACTCTTCCTGGTGATGCAGATAAGGGAGCAGAGATCAGCTTAGGAGAACTAAGTCAGTTCTCCTAAGTCTGTTTCTGAGTATATGATGGGGTGATTCAGGCAGAAGGAACCAAATCAGTAACAACTCCCCAAACAAACCTGGACACACCTAGCATACAACCTACAGAGAAATCGCTGACCTTTGGAACCGGCTCTCAAGTCAGTGTGGGCTCTGGGCGAGCAGCTTCATTCCTCTTTGGGCTCTTTTTTTTTTTTTTTTTTAAAGATTTATTTATTTATGCATACAAGAGCTGGGGTGCAGGCCAGAGATGCAGGGGATGAGATTCACCAGAGACAGAGCAGGGAACAGAACAGGCAGATCTACTGAAATACACCGCTGAGCAGAGGGAGACACAGGAGAAGTCTGCTGCGCCATGTGGGTCACCTCCCTGGCCAGGGATCGAACTCGTGCTGCAGAGGCTGCAGACAGCCTCATGGTGAGGCGTATTAACCCAATGCACCACCAGGGAGGGCCCTGGCTCTTAACTAAGTTGGCACCTGAGCTCCCATGCAGCCCCTATGGGCAGGGCAGGCAGGCTGCCAATTCGTTTCAACCATGCAACACAAAGTAACTTTTAAGGGCTTGAAGACTAAACTAAGAGAGTTGGAGCTTTAAAAACCTGCTGTGGACCTGAAATTGAAGCCCACCAGGCAGCGGGGTGGGGAGGGAGGCCCCTCTGGGGAATTTTTGGGTGGGGCGGGGCACACCCTCTGTGGGTGCCTGGGCAGAGTTGGCTGGTGCCAGGTGGGTGACCACTAGAAGGCGATGTGCTTCCAGGTGAAGCTAGAGGGTGCAGGGTGGTCCAGGGGAGTGGCCATCTCCCCCAGGCTAACGCCATCATGCCCTTCACCAAGCCACTGGGGTGAGAAGTTCTGTGGCACACAAGTTATTGTCACACAACCAGCCTGTGCCAGAAGGACACCTTGCAGAGAAACTGGAACATGAGAGAACTGGTCTCTATTTGCTGGGTGGGGGGGGGGTGGAGGAGGGGAAATTGGGGGGGAGGTGAGGAGTCGGGGAGTAGTCTGGTATCCCAAGCACCCAAAGGAAGCTAAATGGCTTCAACTCATCTCAACATACTTATGACGTGACACCTACATCAAAGCAAAATGCCCAGGAAGGGCAAATAGCAGGTAGGTTCATGGCTGCACGGGGTTGGGTGTGAGATGGGGAGCGTCTATAATGGTCTCAGAGTTCCTGCCAGCAGGAAGGAAATGTTTGACCTTAGAGAATGGTGCTGGTTGTATAACTATGTAAACATACGAAAGCTCAATGAATTGTGTACTTAAAATGGGTGAGTTTTATGGTATGTATATTACCTGCCAATAAAATTGCTTTTTTTTTTTTTTAAGGGGATACTCATAAGGCATGGCCTTCCCCCAGGAAGGAGAGGGATGTGTTCATAGAAAATTCAGGGGGGTAGCTACTGGACACAGTTTCACTCAGAACTTTGTAAGCTTCTAACCACCCCTGTTCATCACTTTGGTTTAGTGAAATTAGGTCAAGATGATTCCAATATCAGTCATCTTGTCAAGATATTGGGGTCACTACCCTCACTGACCCATGCTGGGGTCACCAAGCCCTTGCCAGAAAAGTCTTCAGATAAATTTGTCCAAACCCAATTCATTTACAGAAATAAATTTAAAATCTGGCTCCCCAGGGCACAATCCCCTCAGAGAAGACGGATAACTACATCTGACCTCTCCATTTTTATTCCCCTTCTTTCCCCATCTGTATGGGGGTTGACCACCTCACTTTGCAGCATTACTGCAATTGTGAGAGATGTTTTCCACATGTCTTTATCCCCAGTGCCCATCAACAACCCCCCCCTCCCAGGATGCCAGGGTGATTCTACAGAAAAGAGCCTTGATTGCTTATTTCTTAAACTCGTAGAACTATTCTAAATGTCTCCCTCCCAAATGGTTGTGAAAATCAGTCAAGATGATTAGGAGCTGTGGGGCCAACGGGGTCGTCACAATCAGTACCCCCGCTCAGAGTCCCAGCTCACCACTGATGAGGGCTGGTCTCGGGAAGGCGGGGCTGGACCCTATCAGCCAGGGTTTTCTCTAGGAAGGGCCGGCCCCTGCTGACCTAGTGGGGTGGTAAGTGGGTGTGGACAGACGGAGGGGACTTGGCAAGCGCTCAGCAAGCGTTAGTTATGGGCATCGACACTGAGTGTGGCCTGGCCCGCCCCCAGTGGAATCCCTCCGAAACGAGGGTTAATTCCCATGTGGAGCAGGGCATGAGGGTCTGTGGTAGGCAGCCACAGAGGCTGTCCAGGTCCTGAAATTCAGAACCTATGACTGTGTTACCTGGCGTGGCCCAGGGGCCCCTGCAGCAGCCATCAAAGAGAAGGCCCTGAGCCAGGTGGCTCTGAGACAAACGTGGAGAACCTGGCCTGGCTGCAGGGACCAGGGCTGCGTGACAAGGACCCGACAGGGCACTGCGGGCTCTGAAACCAGAGAAGGGCCCCCGGGCCAGGAATGACCTCAAGAGGCTGGGGCAGGCAAGGCCACAGACGTCTCCAGCAGCGAGCCCAGCCCGGCCGGCACCTGGCTGTTAGCTTTGTGGGAACCACAGGCCTGTAAGTCCATTTGTCTAAGCCTGAAGCGTGGGGTCGTCAGTCACAGAGGAGAAGCCATGTAGGATCTTGCTGGGAGACAGATGTCCCACCGACGGCAAGTCACTTGAGATTTGGGTGAAGGGATTATTTACAAAAGGGCAGGCCAGCTGTGCGAGAAAATGGTGGGGAGAGTGGGGCGGGGGAGACTTGGCAGGGAGGATGGCTGTGGAACCCAGAGAAAGGGGTGCTCTGTGTGTGTGTAAGAAGGGGGGACCCTAGGAGAGGCAGGCAGCTCTGCAGAGTCCTGGATGAAAACAAAACGTCCCTCTTCCTCTCCACTCTCTCTGGCTAGTGCTCCTTCCCCAGGGGCCAGGCCCCGCCAGGAGCTAGAGGGCCAAGCGGAGGGCAAGGGGCCTCCCAGTGCCAGCTGGGGACAGGGCAGAGGGCTCTGGAGCCAGAAACGCAAAAGGTCCAGCAAAGAGCCAGGGGCGGGGGGAGGCGCCGTGGGCCACCGGCTCTCAAACACCTACACAGACGTTATAGGGCAACACACAACGTCCCCAACATCACGGGCATGGGAAGCAGCTGCTTCTTAAAGACAACAGCGGGCTTCTCCTGTGCCACTGCTGCTGCCTGCATCTCAGGATGTAAGATGGTGGGGTGACTTGGTGGGGTTCCCTGGCTCTCTTTCCTTATAAGCAGACTCTGGCATGGAATAAAGGCCACCCCCTCTGTCCACAAACCACAAAAAAAGAGGGTGGAAAACACCAAATTTTCAAGCTGGGACTGAGGTCTGCTCAAAAGGTTCCAGAAGCCACCATGCAAGGGGGGCTGGCCCCCGCCCCCATGCCCACCTGCTGCTGGGAGGAGCCTCTGAGGCCAGGTCTGCAGCCTCAGACACCACCCCCCACCAAGGGAGACCCTAAGCTCCTCTTGTGTGTCCCAGGCCCAGAGTGGACTCTGGGAGGCCAAGCAGTATAGGTGTGGAGAGGTGAGGCACCAGGGCCACCTCCTCACCTCTCCAGGACATCCTGGCTGAGGACGCCACGGCCATGCTGTGGGGTTATGTGAACCCACCGTCCCGACCCACATCAGCGCTGGCTTCTAGGAAATGGGGTCATGGTTCAAATATTGAGGCTAGAGTATGTTTAGATCCGTCTAGCTCAGTCTGAATACCTTTACATTCAAGTATTTGTTTAAAAAAAAACAACAAAAAAAACTATGCTTTTCCTCTCTCTAAACATCCTCGTGGCTGTCCCGGGGAAGGCAGCTTAAGCAGCATATGTCTAAGCCAAGTCTGAACCCAAAGGCACTCACACTACATAATGCAGGGGCTCCCCAAATACCGGGGGTTTCCAGGACTTCAAAGTGGTCTTGGGATGCCTCTGGGCTGCCCCATGCCCAGGTCTGGAGGGCTCCCAGCTGGCTAGGGCACCGGGGCATGGAAGCAAACCACAGGTGTGAGGCGTTCACTCCCCTGGCAATAGGGCCAAGGGTCTGCTGGGCTCACAGAAAAGCTCCTTCAGGACAGAGAAGTGTGAGCCCCAGCCTGTGTGAAGGCCGTCCCCTGTGGCAACCACTTCCTGCCCAGCTGCTCATTCTGCTGCCCTCGTGAGCACCTTAAGTAAATGTGTGTGGACACAGGAGTGTCATGATCAGAAGCTTCCTCTCCAGGGGCTCCGCAACAGAAGAGATGAGCACAGACAGGTGTCTGGAGGCTACTTAGACTCTGTGCTTCCACTTCCCATTAGGAAGCAGGTCTCGATGGCCTGGCCAGCAGGGCCGCAGGTGGCCGGCTGTTTTCATGAATGGAAACTCCCAGCACAGCACCTGACGGCAGAGGCCAGCCAGTAAGTGCCAGCTTGCGCCGCTGCCGTCTTCATTGCTGCCCCCTCCTCCCCTCCCGCCACACCAACATCTGCTCTCCCTTCCAAACTTCACCTTTGCCTCTGGGCACTCAGACTCCCTAACCCCTGGGAAGCACGTCTCCTCCCTCTGGCCACAGTCCGTAGGCCTGGCCACCAGCTTCGAGCTGGCCACCCTTAGGGGCCCTGCAGAGGCATCTTTGAACCAAGCCAGCCACAGGGATGGCCCCAGCCTGAAACCCGTGTGGCCCTTCAGTTCACTACTTGGCACTGGCTCCCCATTCTGTTTGTGTATCTGGCCTCTACTTCTCCTCTCCCCATTTTTTGATGCATCTTGCACATCCCCAGCCACCCCCACCTAAAGCCCAGCCTGTGGAGCCTGACCGTAGCAGGAGAGAGGGCCACCGACTGCCATGGGCTGCTGCACTCGGCTCGATTCTGGCAGCGGGAGAACTGTGATGAGCTGAAATTCTCGCTTCTAAAGGGCCCGCCATGGCACTGGCCAGTGTGCTTAGCTCAGGGGGGCAACAACTCCAGCTTTCTGCTCCCGCGCTAGTGCCTGGGCAGAGACCAGGCCCGCTAGCAGGAAGCTAGTGGCCCCTCCTCTCCAGCCAGCCCAAGTCATGTGGCTTCCCAAGGGGGTGAGGGGCAGGCAAGTGGTACTCACCAGTCAGCAATGCATCCAGTAATTAGGTAGCCAAAGATTAATCCAACCAGCAAGGAGAATTTAGCGATATGGACCTTCCAGGCATTATCACACACAAGATCCCACTAGAGAGGGACAAATAAAAACAAATCAGAGAGAAACATCCACAGATGTGGGGTGCAGGCAGGTACAGGGCAAAACAGTCACTGAGTGAGGACCCCCTGACTGGTCACAACACCGGATCCCTCCACCGGGGGTTCGTCAATGATTTTGAAAATCCAACAATGAGAATTTGTCCACAAAAGCAGTGTGACATTTCAGACTAGGACAGGGTATAAAAATGATCTGAGAGATGTGGGGGAGCAGCCAAGGAAGCTGCGGGTCCCTGCTCAACGGCCCCTTTTTCCCGGCAGAACTGGCATCAGTCCCAACTTTTTGCAAGGGGTTTCATAACAACAGAAGGAAATTAAAAACATCCTCTATGTTTCCATCCCCGCCATTCCAAAAACTTCCTAAGTTGACTTAAAAATAGAGTTGCTGGGCCTCGCCGGTGGCGCAGTGGTTGAGCGCTGGGTTGTGAAGCTGCCCGCAGCTTCTGCAGCGCCGGTTTGATCCCCGGCCCCAGGGTGAGTGTCCCACATGGCGTGCAGACCTCTCCTGCCGCGCCCGCTGCTCCCCTCAGCAGTGTACTTCGTCAGTCTGCCTGCTCTGTTCTGCTCCCCGCTCTGACTCTGGTGAATTCTCTCAACCTCCCGCGCTTCTGACTGTACCCAGCGCTTGTATAAATAAATAAATCTTTAAAAAAAAAAATAGAATTGCTAGTAAATGTTGAAATATCAACCTGAGCATTCTTCTCTGTCTGTGGAAGTGTCCTCGACTTTCCCCACATCACTGTAAAGCCATCTGCTGCCCTTGGAGGCAAGGTCAAGCCGTGGGTGCAGACCATGTTTAGACGATGTTTACAAGAAGTTTCGCTCTGGCATTAAAAATGCAAACAACCACCCAGCTGTGTTCTCCTTTGCGGAAGCGGGAGGTGGGATCCCAAGTCTGCTCCCAAGTGGGGACACAGGGCTCAAGCCTGGGGCGCAGATCAGAGGGGTCTTGCTGGTGACACTGTGAAGACTGAGCCCCGTGCTCCCCATCAGTGGTACAGAGCCCCCTTCCTAGTGGAGCAACAGCTCAGCTGCAGCTTCCAGCTCTGGGCTTTGGCTGTAGGGCAGAGGAGCTGCAGAGGCGGGAGTGGGGTGAGGCCAGGGAGGGGCTCTCCAGGGGATGTCAGAACAGGAGTTCCGGAAACAGAAACCAGAAATAGGCTTTGGGGGTGGGTAGGGGAGGGGGACAATGCTGGGCTGAGACCTGATCTCGGCTTGTACATCTCTCCATTGGCCCCTTGTCTGTCCATCCTGAGCCCTGGGGACTATGCAGTGGAACACGGACAGTTTGTTCAATAAATGGTGCTGGGAAAATTGGACCACCACATGCAAAAAAATGAAAACTAGACCACTACCTTTCACCATGCACAAAAAGCAACTCAAAATGGATAAAAGAACTGGACATAAGACCTGAAACCATAAAATATATAGAAGAAAATATAGGTAAAGCACTACAAGACATACATCGAGAGGATTCTTAAAGGCCACTGGAAACCCAGGTTCTGCACCTGTGCCCAAACTTCCAGAAAGCCCGATGGAGCCCCTGAAGGAGTGCTCAGTGGGTGTCCAGCCTCAGCGGGCTCTGGGGGAATCGGGGCTCCTGCACAGCAGTTGCAGAGGGAGGCACCTGGCCTGGAGCAGGGAGCTGGCTGCCTGTCACACAGTCCCCACACTGGCTGGCACCAGAAGGCACGTGTGACTTTCCTGAGACCTGGGGAGGGTGACCTGCTCCTCCATGCCATCTGCTTCCAGAAGGCATCCAATGCTAGCCTCAGGAAGGAGGGCGTGCAATGCAAGCACACTAGCTATAGCTTGGGGGGAGGGTATTGTCTGTGAGGCTTATTCAAGTGTTAGGAGTGGGGCGCTGCCAGCTGCACAGAATCCAACAATTATGAATCAGACCCAGGGGTTGATGTCCTGCTATGTCTGCCCCAGGAGACCCCCACATCTGCTCCAGGTACTGGCAGCATCGGCATCCCCTCCTGTGATGTCAGAAATGCCAACTCTTAGGTCCCATCCCAGCCCCAGTGACAAGAGCTTCTGGCAGGAGGCACAGCCGCCATGTAACTAGCCCCCCAGAGAGTTCGAGAACCCCAGGCAGCCGGTCCTGTGGTTTCCAGAGGAAGGCTGAGCGCCCAGGCAGTGCCGGGCTCCGGCGCACACTCCCGAGTGTGGAGGGGCAGTGAAGGTGGCCGGGGGGATGCCCCACAGCACTGGATGATAGGCAAGTGGCCTTTGGAGGCCATTTTGCAAGTCTGTATTGTTTCTAGGAGAAAATAAATTTTTAATAACAAACAGCTTTCAAGGTGCAGCTGATCTCTAGCCTCAGGAGAGCAGGTTCTGCCTTATCAGGTGAGTCATGGCACCGGAGCCAGCAGTGCGTATCTGTGCCTTTCCCAGTAAGGTTTGTAAGTTCGGAGGTGGCTTCTGGATCGGCTGCTCTGCCCCGCATGGCCCCCGCCCACAAGGCTGCCATTGCCCAACATGCACAAGCACACCTGGCTAATCTGGAAGTGGGGGTGCTTGTAACACCTGCAATCTTTACTGTCCTGTTACATCACACCTGCCTATGTCTCAGCCCAGCACATTCTTTTTTTTTTTTTTAAGAATACACTTTTTTTTTTTTTTTTACAGAGGCATGTTTTATTTATTTATTTGTTTGTTTGTTCGTTTGTTTTGTTTATACAAGCACTGGGTACAGTCAGAAGCGTGGGAGGGTGAGAGGATTCACCAGAGCCAGAGCGGGGAGCAGAGCAGGCAGAAGGACCGAGGTACACTGCTGAGGGGAGCAGGGGGCGGCAGGAGAGGTCTGCGCGCCATGCGGGACCCTCCTCCGGTGGCCGGGGAGCAGCTGGGGATCGAACCGGCGCCGCAGAGGCCGCGGGCGGCTTCGCAACCCAGGGCTCAACCGCTGCGCCACCGGGGAGGCCCCCCAGCACATTCTTGATGAGAGAGGGGTACACCCCACTCCCAGAGCGCCCCTGGAGGGGAGGGCGCCCACCAAGGACTCTGTGGCAGAGGGTCCTCGCTCGGGGCTCCACCAATAACTCCTGCTAATGAATTCCTGGGGTGGGGGGGATGAGAAGGAGAAGGTTTTGCTTAGGTGAGATGGTGGAAACAAAGGAGATTTTCATCAAGGCATCCAGAGGGGTGGAGGGAATGTGTGAGCTCAGCCACCTGCCGGTAATGCTGCCTGGGGCCAGACCCGATGTAGCTGCCACCCAGTGAGATGCTCAGGGAGCCTCTAGGCAGCCTCTGCCTAGAGCAGGGCTGGAGGGGAAAAAAAAAACAGTTGTGGGGGCAGAGCACCCCTCAGCTGGGGGTAGAAAGCCGTGTTATAGGCGTCTGCTGGTCCTCATCAGTCTGGGGCAGGAGTGAGGGGATCCGGGACAGGGATGTCCACCCAAGCCCCTCCATGAGACCTGAGAATTGATGGCCTGAGTCAAAGGGCAAAAGGCCTCCAGACCCCAGCAGGCTCCCGGGACAAGGTCCCCTGGATACTCCGGAAAGCCTGGAGCACCCCCATCTCCCCATCCCCCCCCCAGGCACATTCCATAAACTGGGTGGGGAGGCACAGGGAACTCACTGTGCAGTACGCCAGATACACCCCCTTCCTCCACCCCACCCCATGTTTGTGTGTTTGCCTTCCACTTATGGTACTGGCAAAAATGTCCTGGGAGAATAAAATAGGTTCAGACATCGGATTATCTGCAAAGCAATCTCAGCGGTATGAGGAAGTTTTGAGATCATCTTGCTCTTGAAATTTGTTTGCACCACTTATCAATCATGAAGGCCACGGGATTTTAAGGGTGGAAAGTGCAAAAGTAGGACTTCATGCCATGGGTTTGCGTCTGACATGACCCTGTTGCCTCCCTCTTCTCATTTTCCTCCCCCATCAAATCAACCACCGATTAATTCCAGAAGATTCACCATTTCAAATATCCTCCACCCACACACCAGCCACAGGGGTGGTCAGATTTATGGGAATAAAGTAGGGGTTCACACATAGTCCATTTGGAGGGTGTTCCTTTGGCGTGTACTGGAGGACTAAAAAAAAAAAACACTTCCAGGCTCCCTTACGGCTAAGGTTTCAAATGTGGTGTAAGTTCTGCCAATCAGCTGACACCCCAAAATAACTTTCAGTGTACAACCTAGTTCAAACTTTCAGGATGTCTTCAGTTGGCAAGAGTGTTAAGTGAGGACTAAGGGGCTGCTCTGACCTGACCGGGGCTGGGCCTGCAGGGGGCTCAGGTGTGATGTCAGAGCCAGCAACAGCACAGTGACCTCCCGAGGCCCCAGCCTGTGACTTGGCTCCCCAGACAGGCCAGCCACAGGGACTCGTCCTAGAAATCCTCTTGGAGGCCCAGCCTGCGGCCACTCCTGAAATTAAGTTCACACTGTTTCCCAGTCGTCAAATCCTAGGCCCTTAAAGACCTGCAGTGGTTTCTGGGACCTGCAAATTGAACTCTATTTCCTCGGTGACCTTCCTCCGGATGGGGTTAGTGAAGGGGGTCGGAGACACCAGGTCTATATGCATTAACTCTGGTCTCGTCCCAGACTGAGACATGAGAATGCAGACATGAGACATGAGAATGCAGACATGAGAAAGGTGCTTTCATGAGGCCCATTAACACTTCATCAGCAGGTTTAACAAGATCCTAAAAGCCTTGGAGTCACGGCCCCATTTCATAATCCCAGGCTGGTCTTCTTCACCTTGTTCTGTGGGAATGTTCAGTGGGGGTGCCACATGGTATTCGTGAGCCAGGACTAAACGCCGAGGCCACAGCACTAAGCAGTGTCCTCCGTTTCAGTCACATGTGTTCCGTTAAAAATTAAAACAAACAAACAAAAAAAAATAGGCGAGGTGACAGGAAATCTGGCAGACTATTTTTCTACCTATGTAATTTCAGGATAAGAAGAAATTACATTTACATTGTTTTCAAAGGAATCATCTCATTGCTAAACATGCCAGC